TACTTTCTCTCGCAATGGGTTCGCTAGTCTACTTCGTAGCTTGTTCTATCTGGCCCATTCCGGTTTATCCACAAGAGCTGGAGTCAGAGCTAAGCACGGGCTTTGAGAGCATGGCGCCATCAGAGGGTTTCTTTCCCGGAGAGAGTGTTGATACTATTCGTGGAGTCTTTTATGCCGTTGAGGAGACTGAAGTCAAGCAGACTACGGGGAAGAGCGCCGGCGCTGAGTCTATCAGCGAGAAGTATACGGTTTAGAATAAGGTGTGGTCAAATACTACTTACTTGGATAACAAATTTTGTACGTTTCATTTCGTCAGATTTTCGCGTCTTCCAAACAAACTGGTCTAACTTCTTAATGGAATTATCAAGAGTCTTCGATTACTTGTCTTATCACCATAAAATCACCGTTGAAATTTGCCCCAACTGGTGAAAGGTTTCGACAACCTTTTCCCAGAAAAGATATCTTCTGCTAAATGCAAGGGACCAGACAGTACTTCCATTGTATTCCAATTCAAAGAGAACCTTTTTTAGATTTGATTCGATTCAAATGCTCTATTCGTTCCAAGTGCCTGAAAGACTCTGTAGTAACTCAAAATTCGGCATCCAGACAGGACTTGCACCTTCTGTGTCCTGATCGATCCAATTTGCAAGCTCTGCAACCATCGGCCAAGCGCCCTCAAACTCCCCAAGCGCTATTCCACCGTCTTCAGACATCAAGAATTGATTGTAAGTGCTATCAATCGGACGCGTCGTGGTCTCGTTCCCACTGAGGTCAGGATTTTGTACTCCACGGCTATCAGCCGCACCCGGTGCTTTGCCGGCTCTCATTTGGGCCGAGGCCATCTCAGCAAGGCCAGCCTCGTTGTCCTGAAGCTTTTCCATGGCTGCATTGACAAGCACCTCGAATGCGTCTCGGTACTTACGTACCCAGGGAGCCCTCTCGCTCATGACGAAGAGCACTAGGGAGCAAGCTCTGATATCGTTTGACACAGCCACCGACCAAAGGGCATTACCCTGGGTCCAGATTCCATACACGAGAGTGACTCCTGCAACAAAGACTGTTTGGACTGCGATGAAGCTGTGGCCGTAGTCTAGCGTCTGATGCAATCTCTTATGTGCTTGGCATATGTCACCTGCGGCTCGCATGCACAGTCCGTAGAACGGGTCTGTTGCTGGTAGTATCGGCAAAAACGGCTGTATCAGAAGACGGAGCGCACGATTATAGAGCAGAAGCGCATAGTTCAGATCTGGATGACCTGCAGGAATCCAATCCGTCAGAGAGTCCCGCCAGGATTTGAGTTGCTGATGCAGCCGGTCTAGTTTGGGCCGGAGTGCGTCCAAAGTCTTGTCCGTACGATAGACCGAGTGATGAATTTTGGACTCGATTCTGCGAAGCTTAAAAAGAACAAGTGCCAGAGTGATGTCGTTCCCGACAAGGACCGAAGCAGATGGGCTCCCGTTGATGATGGTATTCGGAAGCTCAACGTCGATCTGGTTATCTGCGATGCTTAAAGGCCGACCCAGCGACACTGCTATGGTTCTTTCAAGAGAATAGACAGACCAAAAAAGCCTGCGTCTTCTTTGAACGATAGGACCATCAAGATTTTGTTCATGTGCCGCACGATGTAAGCCGAGATCGATTGATGTTCTCATTGCTAGGCCAATCATGTACCACAGCCCATGACTAGATGTTGACCGAAGATGGAACATCACGAGTAACGTCATTGCCTCGATGTTCTGAACTGTTCTCGACTCTCTGGCTGCTGAGATATGCTGTAAAGCAGTGATATAGAGAGCCTTCAGGAATGATGTCAACAATCTCAAACTTAAGGTACTTAATAATGGTGTCAAAAGCATACCTCTGGAGATAACACTGGCCCCCTTTGCGTCAATTGCACTAAAGTTGCCCCCATAGCGTATACAAGGTACAACTTGAAGATACCGAAGCGTTCAATCCTTGTAAGAGTTTGTGTTGGTTTAGCAGCCAGAGTCATTCTCTCGCTATGCAATTTCCACAACTCCTCTGGCTCCAGGAAAGGGTACTTGGAGTGCAGCTGAGACGTGTACGCTTTGAGCATTTGAGAACCCTGCTCATCACTTGGAGGTTCCTTGACACTATGAGCCAAAAGATCTTCCACTGTGATGCATCTCGGACTGGGATTGATGCAGTTAGCTTGATTGCCTGTAGTGCCATCCTGTATGTCTGGCAACATCTTATTCCAGACAGTCGCTTGAACCATCTCGCCAAGATTCAGGGCTAGGGATAGTCCAGACGAGGGTCCAACATAAGCCGGCGCCTCGAAGTTTCCTAGCGAGACGTGTGCTACAACGTCACTGAGGGCATTTTTGTCTCTACCCGACGGAACCGAGTAGTTGCTTGCGGTTTCCCTTGGAGTTGTGGTTGCTTCTGGGGTAGGGACTTGGGCTAGCTTGTTCTCCAAGAAAGCTACTCGCTCTTCGAGAGCTCGTGTGTATCTGCATCGGAGTTCAGTCTACATACATTCGATCGAAACTTGTCAACTTGATCGGTATCGAAGGACCAACTACTTACGCAATCGATGAAGCATCGTCGGAGACATCTGTCTTATCACACTGTGCTCCTGATTTACGACAATTGGAGCAAATAGGATATTGGTCGTCACACTGGACCTAGAATCAGAGGAAAACGTCCTGCGTGCAATCTTGATTGGCTCTGGGTAAGCACCTTCTGCTTACGACTTTTGCATCTCGTACATGCAGTCCTGCCCCTCTTCCGGGGGTTCACAGCTACAGCCCCGGGCGTGGCCAGGGGCGGTGATACCGAGTTCTGAGTTTCGGACGTCATGCCCGTCCTTCAATGCCAAGGTTTGTTGCGCTGCCCAAAAACTTCGTTCGGATGATAGGGGCGGAGATCCGATTTACATACTTGTCGGATCCTCCTGAAATTTGCCGATGCCGCCTGAGCGCAGTTGATTGTTGGGACTAATCCGTGCAGGGCTAGTCTCTTCGGACAACATCCGATTCTATGGACAGTCACCTCCGATCGGAGGTTCCGACCATATTTGTGTCAACTGGCCGTTTTCGGCATTCGACCGTCTCGACAGGGTGCTTTCTGGCCGAAATCTGAGAATCCTAACAACAAGCGGTGTTTGGTCGACAACCTATTGCGCGACGATTATTCGCGTTATACCATTTGTTTCGGCTAGTCTACGTCTATTGGTTCTGACCCCGAGCTAGTTCTCGATTCCAATGAGCCTGAGAAGGCTCACACGGTCAAACAGTTTGATATTGACTACATACATTAGATTCATTTGCCCTTCATCCACTTCCTGTTTGGCTCGTATGGAAATTCTGCTCTCATGTGTTTGGCGATATCTCGTCTCGTTGTAACCCAAACTCCTTCTTTTTCCGCAATGTACTTCATGAACTTCATCAAAGCCTCCGATCTGCCTGGTTTGCCAATGATACGTGTATGCAATGGAATGTTCATCAGCTTGCCGCCCTCTCTGTACAAGCAATCAAAGGTGTTCTTCAAATACTGCTCATACGTCTCCGCAACAGAGCTGCCAAAGCCGGGCGACATGTGAAATTTTCCATCGTTGCAATCATAATTGTAGGGGATAAGCAGCATGCCTTCTCGCTTCTCCTCTGGCAACTCCTTCTCCCATGGTAAGTCGAGCCAGTAAGGAACATCATCGTTGTAGCATTCAGAAGACCAGAGAAACTCTCCTCCAAGACTCTTCCATACTTCCGGGAATAGCGAGGGGGTATTGGGTGTACCACGGCCAAAGTAAGCGCCGACAGGCATCTCACCTGATACTTCCTTCAGCATCAGGATGTTCTGTTTGATGTATTCCTTGTCCTCCTCGAGTGAATAGTTCCAGATATCCAGCCATCTGAGTCCGTGGCAAGCGATTTCGTGCCCGTCTCGGACCAGCGCCTTTGCAAAGGTTGGGTTACGCTTGAGCGCGTGCGCTACAGCGTAAGTAGTGAAGCTCCAGCCAAACTCTTTGAAGAGACGGATAAGACGCCAAGAGGCTGAGCGACTGCCATACTCAAAGTCTTGCTCAGCATTGAGGTACCTGGCGCCTTCTTTGTAGCCACCGGATGCGCCTTTCTCCCATAAGTAAGGTTCTGAGAAAGGGTCTCCGTCCAATGTGCTTCGTTCTCCGCCTTCCCTAATCATGTTTAGTGACAATATCATCGAGTTGGTGATAACCAAACCTACTCATAGTTGAGGACGAAAGAAACCGCGATACGGGCACCATCTGGCCATTTTGGATCGAAGCCCTCCTCGCCGAAACCTAAGGGTTATTGTATCAGTAATCGCGACTACGCTGAAAGTAACAACAGACTCACCCTCAAAGTCCCGGGGTATCTGCAAGCTTTCTTCGACATGAACCATTTTGTTAAGTGTAAAGATTAATCGGGTTGTTGATGATGGATTCCAGTCACGAGAGAGAATGTGAAACAGTCGCTTTTACTAGTTATTTGAACTGGCACATAACATTTTGAAAGAAACATGAATGCATAAAGGCGCAGCCATGATATACATCCAGCTCAAGGAAATGCTCTTCGATTAAGGTATATTCACCGAGGCCAATCAGGCGTTATCGCGATATGCTTGATACCAAGCGGGGTATTCCTGATGGTGGGGAGATCCTTCACGAGATAAGGCGATGGCGGGGAATGCCTACCGCAGTAAGCACCTAAGATGCGTTTTACTGCCGGTTCATTACCTCCGATCGCTTGATAACTTGCATGTAATTTCGGACGCCCGAAAGCGCTAAGATAAGTCATTTCTAATTAGGCCGATGGAGATAGGCAGGTTGGCCAACGATGCTGATGTGGACTTACCTATCTTGGTACGTTTTCCGCGATTCAAGCCAGGCATAATAACCTACACTTGACGCCTTGATAGATGCACAATCTGCGACAGACCATAACTCATGTGTAAAGTTTATTGCCCGGCTGAGTGTGAAATCTTACAAATCTTGGTTCCCTTGGAACTATATTGACAACATGTCTGTCTTCTCGCTGGAAGTAGAAAAGGCAAACCCAGTGACAGCAGGAGTCCTGGACGACAGCCTGCGAGCACTTGGCGTTACGATCAAACCGGAAGAAAAGGATGAATATCAGAGGCTTCTAGCCGTGTTCCACGAGTCTGTAGTGGGTCTTATGTCACTCCCTGGTAGGTTTCGTGTCCCGACCTTAGTTGAAGACATACTAATGACGATTTACGTCGCAGATTATGTGCCTCCAGTAGATGAGGAAAGATTCCCAAGGGAGGGAATTCGATTACCGGTTGTCTCGGAGAATCCTTTGGGTGCTTGGGCTTGGAGGTGCCGAGTAGAGGACAAGACCAAAAGCGGGGGATTGCTGGCAGGTAAAACGATAGCCATCAAAGACAACATCGCAGTCAAGGGCGTTCCGATGCTTCTTGGTACCAACTTTGTTAGAGACTACGTTCCAGTAAGTCAAATCAATATGACTCACCAGTATTCTCATCAATTATACTAACCTAACTAGAACACCGACGCAACGTGTGTGGCAAGGCTGCTAGAATCCGGCGCAATCATTGCTGGAAAGTCCGTGTGCGAGAATATGTGTCATTCCGCTACGAGCAGCTCTTCCTCAACCGGGCATGTACATAACCCCTATGCCAAAGGCTACAGCAGCGGGGGAAGCTCAAGTGGCTCAGGGGCACTCGTAGCCAACGGAGACGTGGATATGGCTCTTGGCGCTGACCAAGGCGGTTCAATACGTGTCCCTGCCGGATGGTGCGGTCTCTATGGGCTGAAGCCGACCTTTGGACTTGTGCCCTACACCGGTTGCGGCTCAAATGAGCCTACCAATGACCATGTCGGCCCCATGACACGAACACTTCTCGACAACGCGTTGATGCTTCAGGTCATTGCGGGCAACGACAACATTGACGACAGATCGTTCGCAGCACCGAACCCAGACAACGTTCCCAAGTACTATGATAACTTGACGAAGCTGGAAACCCCGAAAGATCTGTCCGGTGTCAAGATCGGCATCTTGATAGAAGGTATGAACCAGCCGTCAGTGGAACCTCGCGTCAAGGCATGTGTCGAGGCTGCGATCCAAGGTTTTAAAAATCTTGGGGCGACCGTAGATGAAATTTCAATTCCCTTTCACTCCAAGGGAGCAGCCGTTTGGACTGCTATCAGCAAGAGTGGAGGTTACCTGGCGAAGAGAAATCTTGCATTTGGCAGGAGAGGCCACATCATGACCGGCTTGGCGGACAAGTTTCAGGACCTTACGCAGAAACAGTGGGATAACGCATACGTTTCGTCAAAGAACATCTATCTCAACGGGGTCTACGCGCAAGCAGCGTTCCCAGGGTTGCTTGGAAAGGCGACGAATCTCAGCAGAAAGCTACGAGACGACTATGACAATGCTCTGCGAGAGTTTGATATTTTGGTGACGCCGAACTTACCCTACGTTGCCAATTTCCATACTCCCTATGACGCGTCCCCGCTCGAGAAGATTGGAAAGCAAGTCGGACTCACTGCTAACACCGCCCCTTTCAATCAATCAGGCCATCCGGTCCTCGCTATGCCGATTGGTATGCTTCCGATTGAGGAAGGTCCTCTGAAAGGTTCGGGAACAAAACTGCCGGTGAGCATGCAAATCATTGGCAAGTGGTGGCATGAAGAAGATGTTTACCGCGTCGCATACGCCTGGAGCTTAGAGTACGATTGGAAGACTAGATGAATGCATTCGGCGATCGATAATGACGCCGTAGACTCTAGACGGGTGTATGTACTCGCGAGACTTAGCAGGGGGGACTGCACATGCAGTCGTTAGAGGTTTTAAAGCCAATGCAGTCAGGCAATCTTAAAACCATGGTCTGCAAATTTGCAAAGAAGGTGGCGATTGAATACATTTAAGAGGATCGACTGATTGAAAACCAAAATTCAGGCCTGTCAGACAATTGCTTGACTCAGACTTGAAGTGTTAGTTCGGGTCTCATTGCTCCGAAAATCGGAGCTACTGTAGTGCTACTCCTCTAGCGGGCGCAACCACGATGTAGCGGTAATACGATAAAATCCCTTTCTGCAAATGATCGAGCTGGTGGTCATTCACTTCAGAGACAGGCGGTGTGCAATGCTACTGCAACACTACGTTGTGCGACGTTCCGGCTGTAGACGGACCCGTGTCCGGCCCTCGAACGGCTCTCGGAGGCCTCAAAGCCGACCGACCTCGGGGGTTGCGATTTCGGCCTTCTTGCCCTGCGCCGGTTCATCGGCGCCGACAGGAGGGGCCAGAAATGCCAGGTGGACCCCCACGCCCCGGCTCCGGCTCATTTCCGTATTTTCCAACATGGCCCAGACTTTTCCAACCTGGAGAATGATGTTAGATAAGACACTTGCGGCCTTGGTGGAGCTCCAGGTCGTCGCCCTTGTCCAATATCAAAGCCTGATTCCAACCCGAAGTGGAGGTGACAGACGTAAAAGGTTGCAGATATTCCCCGCTGCGGAGACGCTCCGCTAGCACATAGGTTCAAAGACCGGGGCCCAATGAAACATTTTTTGCTGATTTTGGGGGCAGTTTTCTCACAAAGACCATGGATGATGTCTTTGAAGGCGTTTCGGCGGTGATAGTCCCAGTGCCCGACTTCGGAATCATGATCCCGAGGTGGGTAAGTATGCAGCCGAGAATTTTCTACCATTTTTCTGGTGTGGTCTTTGATGCTTTATATACAGCGCTTTGCCCCCCTCAGAAAACGGAACAATTCAGGACTGGTTATTCATGATTTTGGTGGACACATTTCCTTGGCAATCCCTGTCACTCTGTCTTGTCAACTCTTCGCTCTCATCAGCTGCCTAGTCGAACTTCAAGTTGTCAATACAGCTTCCCCACTACTGTTGCTTCTATTCCATGTTCGAATCATCACCGTCATCATGTCCATCATGTCTGAACACACATTGTCAGAGGTCCCCACGAGGAAGGACGAATTACCTCCCGACCTGCTTGCGTTGAGAACCTCCAACGCTGAGAAGGGTGTGAACATTATTGCTCAGACGCCCAGCCGACCATACTCGTACCGTGAAGATGAGACAGTCTACGATCGCTTTACACCCGGTCGGAAGCGAATTATCACAGCCATCGTGTCCTTCGCTGGTTTGGGCATTAACCTAGCTTCACTGCTCGTGCTCTCAGCGTTGCCAGAGGTAGCAGCGGCTTTCAACACAACTGGAACAGTCATCAATTTTACCAATGCTCTTTTCCTATTAATGATGGGCATCGGTGTTCTCTTCTGGGGCCCATTAAGTCAGGTCTACGGTAGAAAATGGGTAAGCAAAACCACCATTGTACATCCCACCGTCATGTATCATAGTTGCAGTCAGCTCTCAATCGGCCAATTTGGCATATATCTCGCCCTACACTTGAACTAAATGTTCTAGATCTTCGTCATATCGACAGTGTTGTTCTGCACGTTTTCACTGGCTACAGCGGTTTCCCCCAATCTGCCAGCTTTCTTCATCTTCCGATCAATCACTGCATTTGCCGGAACCTCTTTCCTTATCGTTGGGTCTGCCTGTCTCAGTGACATTTATCGTCCGACTGAACGTGGCACGGCATTGGGTTGGTTTCTTGGAGGCACCCTGTGAGTCCAAGCCCCTTCACGCTCCGTTTTCTGGTCGACCGAACATTCATGGCTGATACATGTACTCTTCATAAGTATCGGGCCTGCTCTTGGTCCTTTCATCGGAGGTGTCATCGTTACGTACTCAACCTGGAAATCTCTTTTCTGGTTCCAGGGCGCTCTCGGTGGCGCTGCTATGGTCCTGGCAGTCGCCTTCCTCCCGGAAACAAGTCACGGAAAGTGGTCTGAAGAATTGGAGGGAATGACAACCAAAGAGAAGATTAGCCAGATCTGGGAGTGGGCGAATCCGTTTCGAGTCATCAGTCTATTTCGGTACCCCAAGATCCTCATCGTCGTGAGTTCTCCTCGCCCTTTCGTCATCAATGAGCCTTTGAGGTGTTCACCAAACCATTCGATTTTGGGAGAAAGGCGCAGTTCTTCACGCTGGACGTCATTTCGGATCTCGCGTTTGGGGAGCCGTTTGGGTTCGTGGCGTCTGATTCGGATATGTACGAGTACATCAAGACGACGGAGGAGAATTTGCCCGTGTTTATGGGCATGACTGTTGTACCCTGGGTTATCAGATTGTTCCGGTATCCTTTTCTCAGGTCGATGTTGCCTACGGCGAAGGACCCGCTGGGTTTTGGTAAGGTGATGGGGTGAGACAGATCTGATGTTTCTTATCTTGATTTGATATTGAGCATTGCATAATTCCCGCTGACATTCCCGCATATAGAATAGCCAAAAGGTTCTCCGCCGAGCGATTTGGTCCTGATGCGAAAGTCCAGAGGGATATGCTGGGTTCCTTCGTCGCCCATGGCCTCACGCAAGAGGAAGCTGAATCTGAGATCCTGCTCCAGATGTAAGTTGTCTACCCACCTTTGCTCTTTTCAGTCAGGGAATATGATTAGGGGAGAAGGATGGGCAAAGAGAAAAAAGACTGACGCATCTCTTACAAAAGTATCGCCGGCTCCGACACAACAGCAACAGCAATCCGCGCCACGCTCCTCTACATCATCACGAACCCCCGCGTCCACAATAAACTCCTAGCAGAGATCCTCTCTGTGTACAACACCACTGCTCGCCGCACCATCATATCCGACGCCGAAGCCCGCAACTTACCCTACCTCCAAGCCGTCATCAAAGAAGGGCTGCGCATCTTCCCGCCCGTGGCGGGTCTGATGGCAAAGCAGGCGCCGCCAGAGGGCGACACGTGGAATGGCGTCTTCATCCCCGGCGGCACGCGCGTCGGGTGGTCTTCGTGGGCCATGTTCCGCCGGCCAGACGTCTTTGGCGAGGACGCGGACGAGTTTAGGCCGGAGAGGTGGCTTGCCGGTCAGGGTGAAGATGCAAAAGAAGAAGACGGGACGGCAGGCGCAGCAGAGGAAAAACTGCGCGAGATGGAGGCTACGATTGAGTTGATTTTCAGTCATGGGCGGTATCAGTGTCTTGGGAGACCGGTCGCGTTGATGGAGTTGAACAAAGTGTTCTTCGAGGTACGTGTTGCTGTGGCGAATTCTCTTTCTCCTGCTCTACTCTTTTGCGCCATCCCAGCACGTTGGAAGGGGAGCGGAAGGCCTGATTTTCGAGACAAATGCTGACAAGGGTGTTCTATCAGCTGCTTCGACGACTTGAGCTCACCATCTGCGATCCGTTGGATCCTTGGAAGACTTTCAACTGCGGTATCCACGCACAGTCTGAGTATTGGATCCGGGCCCAGCGGAGAAGGTAGATTATGGAATCTCACTGTTAATTTTCAGCTCTGGACTTGGCTGGGCAGGATAGTAGGCCTGATACATTCTGAAGTACGTTGTAAATTGTCTAGTATACCTAAGGTCGTTCTTGGAGGTTAGCCTATTTGCTTGCGAGCTGGAACCAACAGTAATATATGCTGCAGATTGTCCTGCTATATGACAGCTGAACTCCTAGCAAGCCATATGACAGTTTGCGCCTCTATACATACGTTATGTTGCGCGAACCTCAAAGCATTATAAAATGAGAGTAAAACAATTACGAAACCAGGGAGGAAGACGTATGTTGCAATCTACTATGCCTCGCGAAGCACCTCGCTCATGGCACCTTCTCTCAGCCCTCAAAATGCCACCTTAACTTCATAACAAAGATTCTTCTACAACATGGACCCGAAATCAATATCATTGCCTTGAAATTTCCACTCGAGATTCTCAATAAGAAAACACCACGAATTATCGAGGTCTGAAGAAAAGAGAGGTTAAAAGTATAACACCCAATTGGCTAACTCACCTCGGTGAGCAACCCCACAAAGCACCCCCATTGGCTTCTCTTATCCCCCTTTAACCCCGCATACTCCACGTTAGCTTGGGAACCGCTAGGTGCCCCCGTCGCGTTTGTGCCTCGGCATCTCGAACATATCTCCCGGTCATTTCGCAGATTTCCCGCCATTCTCTTTCATCGTCATCGACCGTTTGAGTCCTCAACACTTCATCCACTGCCCAACTTCATCTCATCTCATCTCATCTCATCTCAGTTTAGTGCTTTTCACCAATAAACAACAGAAGCTCGCTCATTTCTCATCGCATTCGCACCTCATCTCACTTCGTCTCATTCTCGATCGCTTTAGGCGTAACACCCCAAACCGAACATAATGGCTTCACCCGACGAGGACAAGAAGATTGTGCTGTACCACTACTCCGCCTCGCCCTACGCGAAGCGGATCGTGTGGTACCTAGCTCTCAGAGGCATCCCCTATGTCCAGTGTGTAAGTCGCCAATTCTCACACCTTCATCTTCACCACGATTCGTTTTCCGTGGTCCTATTCACCTACAAAAAACTAACAAACCGCTCCAGATGCAACCACCAGTCCTCCCCCGCCCAGACGTATCAAAACTAGGCCTCAACTACCGCCGCATCCCCATCCTCGCCATCGGCCGCGACGTCTACCTCGACACGCGCCTCATGCTCCGCAAGCTCGAGCAACTCTACCCTTCACGGCCCCGCCTCGGCGCCACCACCCCCGAACACGCAGCCGTAGAACGCCTCCTCGAAGCCCTCATCATCGACTCCGTCTTCTCCAACGCAATCAACGTCCTGCCCACGAACCTACCCATGCTCAAGGACCCCAAACGCACCTGGTTCAAGGACCGCGAGGACTTTGTCGGCGGCAAGCTCTCCGCCGAGACGATAGAGCGCGGACGGCCCAACGCCGTCAACGAGATCCGCCGCACCGTGGCGCTCCTCGAGACGACGCTGCTCGCCGACGGGCGGGACTGGGTTTCCGGCACGGAGAGCCCTTCGCTGGCGGATATCGAGGCCGTGTGGCTGCCGCATTGGTTAGCTTCTCTCCCCGGCGCGCTGCCGGCGGAGCACGTTTCCAAAGAGCAGTTTCCCAAAGTCTTTGCCTGGATCGAGCGCTTCCAGAAGACGACCTCGGACGCCAGAAAGGCAGCTGGGAAGGTGGCGACGGTGTCGGGCGACGAGGCGGCGGAGATCGTCGTCTCGTCGTCGTATAACGAATCAACTACGGGAGGAGTCGACGCCAAAGACTTGCTGGTGATCGCGCAGGATCTCGTGGCGGGCGACGAGGTGATCGTCTGGCCCGCCGACACGGGCGCCTCGCACAAGGACACGGGGAAGCTCGTCAGCCTCGACGGGGATGAGGTCGTCTTCGAGGTCACCGGGCCCAAGGGTACCTCCGTGAGGGTTCACGCGCCGAGGCATGGGTTCCGGGTGGAGAAGCTGGAGAGGTATAACGCGCGCACCGGGGCGGCCGCGAAGCTGTGATTTCTTTTCTTTCCTTTTCCCCCGCGAGCGACCACGGCCCGAAGTCGTTTTTTGCAACCTTCGTCATTCGCCGGGTGCCGTTGCCGGAAGAGGGACTGGGTATGTTGCTCCGGCCAAAGACCTACTCATCCCAGAGTGTCTTTACAAACCGGAGCGAGCGTTCGGGGGGGGGGGGGGGGAGGGGTAACTCAAAAAGCGTTCTATCAGAGCTCGGCGTGACACCATGCTGCGCAGTTGGGGAAAACGTGAAACAAAAGCCCGCGCTACATCACTGATAGACTACCCATCGAGAATCTGGAGCTTCATCAGACTTTGTTAAAGAGGGGAGGAATGTGATGAACATGCAGCTCCGAAACATATCAGGGCGCCGCGGCTAGCGACTAGCTGAGATGTTCTGCAATTTAAACATGCTGAAATAAGCCACAAATGATGACCGTCCACACGACTTTCCCATCGTCCCGGCGTACCGAGAAGCTGTTTTCGGCTTCGAAATGTCAGACCGCGTGTTACGTGAACACATGGGCCGGAAAGGGCAAGCTGAGTTTCATCCCAGCATGCACTGGCTTCCACAACTGAGGTTGCCGAATGTTTTGTTGTCACTGCTCAAGCAATGGAAATGGGATAATTTGCAACGGCCGAAGATCGAGTGGCAATCTCGATAAGCTAAAGATGAGTTCCAAAGTAGGCTTGGCGGAAGGATGAAGACTGCTACCAACAAGCCGCGGGACGAAGGCTTCCACGTCCGGCTGCTACGCATGCCGATATAGATTTTGATGCAATACCCGGGATTCTTTGGACGTACCAGCCTATCATAGTGGATCGTATATGTGCCGGTACGGCTATTTGTTTGACATCCCATCCATCCCATCGTCTTGCTCGATCTATTCGGAAGAAGGGATATTTGGACTTGTATTTGCGTGATGTGAAGTGAAGAAGATATGGACACATAGTGTAATAAACATAATTCAAATGTTGATAGTCAGTATTCGGAAAGTTACCTTGTCGATCCGGCAAAGAGGCGCACAACCCGTCAGCTGAGTCTATGTCGAAGGTTCCATCATAGACAAGCGCGCTGGCGCGTCGAAAATTCGAAGCCCCAGATCATCGGACGAGATCCTCCGCCAGGGACCCGGAGGGGAGTTGAGGATTACACAAGGCACTTGTGGCGCCGACCCGGTGGAATGGGGCAGCGGACGCCGCCGGACGGAGAACATTGGGCCTAGACAGCACGATAGGTCTAAGCTGACCCTGCTACGGCTAAGCGTGATGTCTCTCGTCCGAGGCACGACGTGGGTTTGTGGTTCTGGACCCGAATTCCCCATACGACGTTGTGGTCGTTCGCACTTCGCTAGAGGGAAATCGAGCATGCAGCAGTCAGATCGATATCGAGATTGATGCCGAGCCTGGGTTTAGACTGGGCGCCCATCAAACGTGCCGTCTCATCCATCCTCTAGACGGATTTCTGCCGTCATCGCTCCGTCAATGTATTCTGGGGAAAGCTTTAGATCTGGATATTCCAGCATGAGCTCGGTCGAGATACCAGGGCCAAGCTGGGTACCATAATGCGTCCAAGGCTCAAAGGGGTCGGTCGAGTGGACCCGTGTACAGTGTGACGCGACGCGCTCGCGAAAGTGCAAAGTTTGAGCACAGTGCGATGTAAAGATGGTGCGAAAGGAGGAGCAAAGGCATGCAGGATGCAAGGATGTTCTCCGGGTCTAGTGCGTCATACGACGGTAGCCGACGGGACAAGTCAATCTGCTCCGGGAATACGTACCGTTTGCTGACCTGAGACTCCCCGTTCGCTGGTCGGATGCTTCCATTCTCATTCACCTCGGCGTCCAGCGCGAGAACGTAGCCACATCCCCCATCCAAGCAAACCACGCGTGAAGAAGACGGGAGCAAGCGGTCCTCGCGGAGCAATCCAGTGGGTCGCCGGAAATCAGAGAAAATTTTTGGAAATTCCGTCATTGTCGCAAATTACGGACCCTTCCTTATGAGAATCGCAACCTTCACCGTCGATGAGGACAGTTCTTGACACAAACCCGTTGTGCGGATGACTCTGAACAAGTCAAGAGACCGTTTCAATTTGGTCTTGATCACTGTTCGGACCTCGAGCAACCATGGCAAGGTACCACACCATTGAGGATCGCATCGCCGACCGTGCCGGGGCGACCATGAGTGGGCAAGCAACGTTGGGCTCGTTTGCTTGGCTTTGTTGGCTCAGATTTTCTATTCGTCAGCATCTTACTAGACATAGTTACGTCATGACCAGTGACGCCACCAATGCAATACAAGAACTGAAAAGTATCGAGACAGTGCGGACCCAATTGCAGAGCCGATATTGGCCAAAGCTGTGACCATCGAGCGCACTTGGTGCCGTTTTCAAGAACTTTGCCAATCTTCCGTCTCAAGCTAAAAACAGGTCAACCCTATGAATAAGGCCGTGACGTAATGTTTGGAAGCAGACAGACAGACTCGCTTGCCAAAACGGAGAGGTATCAGCTAGTTTGTTAGCAACAAGAAGCATGAGTCCTTGCCGTCGACGGGTTATGGAAACTGGGAGGATGCGGAGTATTCCAACAGTTCAAGTGGTCTTTCCATGTCTGGCTACCCGAAGCCTAAAGGGTATCGCTACGGAGCAAGATAGATGTGCCCCGTCTGGCGCGATTGTTGTGACGCAATTTGTTGTACGGTTACTCTGCAGTTGAGTGTGAGAGAGCGGGGACTGGCTACAAGGGCCTCCCTGACCAAGCTGCAGCTCCTTGGGACACCCTATTGGATATTCAAGACAGCAATTTGCCACTTCGGGTTTCCCAGTCGCGTCAAAAACCGACCGTCGATGTTGCTAGTCCTGCGGCTCCTGGCTCATTCTCACCGGCAGATTTGGTCCAGGAACTTCAGGTAGCTGCAGCTTAGAAATTCATGGCTGACAGCCGCTGTGCAAGGGCAAGCAAGTGCGACGACTTGCGTTGA